CTTCTGTCGGACTTGTAAGACATTAACTTCAACAATATAACTTAGATATATCGGATGAAATTTGAAAGAGTAAAGTTAAAAAAAATTCTCTAATATTGACATAATGCGCACTTTTAAAATCATTATTTTTGAATGACCTAAATGATGATGCTTAATGTCAGGTGTGGTGTGTATACTTTAGTTTATTGTTACACTAAAACAATTCATCTGTTGTGTTTGTTTTATTGTGATATAGATTATTTTTAAAGCGATATTTTCCTTGATTATATCTAATGTTTAGGTATGTTGGAAAAAAAAACACACACGCACAAAAACACCTTGTTTAACATTTTGATTACAATAGCGACATCTGGCTATGTTGTGTTTTTCTAATGGTAGAAATTTCTAATGTCTAGAGTTATATACTAGTATACCGTGAAAAGTGCCTTCAAGAGGTTGTCCACAGAATACCTGTCGGGACGGACGCCTTTTTAAAATGACATTTCAAGCATGGGGGTGGTTTCAGGAAAAGTGCGGTCCATAGGTTGTAAATAGGGTACTTTTAAATGGGTTGGGAGGATGGAGGGGGTGAAAGGGCATTTGTCAAGAAAAGCGGCTTCAAAAGGTTGTCAAAAGAGTACCAGTTCAAAGGGGAGGGATAAAAATGCTTTGTCCAAAGGGATTATTTTGCAGGACAATGGCCTATAATGATGATATTTATGATGATTAGGGGAAGTATGTTTAAAATTGATCTGCTTATGATGCTGAAATCCTGATGCTGTTTCTCATAATTCTTAATTATTGTCAAATATCAAGTTGATAGTAAAGCTGAGCAAGTACACTGATAGTAATGATGATGATGTTGATGATAATGATAAAACTAATAATGTTGAAGATGCTGTTGATAAATAAATGCTGTCATTCTTCATAATAATGATTATGCTGTTATGTCTCATAATAATGATGATCATCTTAAAAATTGAAGATATATTGTTGATGATGATGATGACACATCGTGGCGATGATGATTATATTGATTATAGATGTGATACTGTTGTTCCTCATATTGATGATTGTCCTGTGGTGAGGACTGTGCAGAGTAAAAAGAAGCATGTTGATTGCTTTGCTGCTGCTGATGATGATAATGATGATATGATAAAATAAAAATGTTTTTAAAAAACAGGTTCAATCAAATTACTGTTGGAAAGAAAATTATCTGAAAACAATTTTTTTAAAATAGTAAAATATAATGATTGCTGTACTATTGTATACTTACGATATATTTGATGAGAAGCTTTCCTTTTAATAAAATCTATACATGGGATCTTGGTTTGGGTAAATTACTACCTGACATCTCCTTTTTACAAATAAAACTATGCTAGGTGAATATATGTGTTTCACAAATTTAAGCGATTTGGCATTTTAAAACGCCGTGTAACTTCATATAGATACTTTCATATTCTATTTATCTATTGATAATAACAAATAAGGCCAAGGTATATTACTAACGATCATGTTCATCAATTTAAATTTCAATGGTATAATAAACTTAATTTGGAATTAATAAACCCCGGTAAATGGTACGCTGTTGAAATGAAATCTTCTATATCTAATGTCAATAGAGGTGATAATCTTCAATTACTTTTTTTACATAGAACAAAAACGCAACATTAGGAGAGAAACTTATTGAAATTCTGAGGGTTATCTTCCAGAATTCATTTGTAATTTTACTCAATTAAAGATTTCATTCTTTCTTTCTTTCTGTTTACTATTAATGGGAAAATATATGTAAGCGGCCTAATAGTTCAGTCGAGAGAGCAGAAGAATAGTATTCCGAGCGTCCTAGGTTCGAGTCCCTGTCAGGGTGCAGATTTTTCTCACCCTTTGACATGAACTTATGTTCAATGTGAGCATCAATGAAAGTAGCAGTCAATCATTTATATGTTCAGAGTTATATGTTTTAGCATAAAGTATATAAAACCAGTTAAAATCAGGATTGGTGTGTTAATATGTACAAGGATTCAGCTGTTTAACTGTGGCTGAATGATTCAAATTTACAGAAACATTCGGGACGGTTTAAACAAGAAAAAAATCAAAATAACGGATGGACAAATTTATAATTATAATATATCACGCATATTAATAGTAAATTCTGTTCAAATTATTTTGAAATTCTAGTGTAATTATGTTTCTTCTTAAGTCTATTAATTTCAATGACTTTGATTAGATAAAAATCTGAGTTTTCTGCTTTTTCTTAAATCCGAAATAATTGTTCTCTGCTTAAGATTTATACGAATTTTTCAAAATAGTTTTGTTTGTAAAAAAGTCACAGGGAAGTTTAAAAAACATGAATAGACGTGGACATGGTTTTTGTTTAATCAAAATATACATTTACGTGTTTCGACTTTTTTAAAGCCTTTGAAAATGTGTCAAAACCTTTTTGTGTTGCCGCTACATTTCAAGAACTTGTTCTTTAAATGCTGGTCAAAAATAGTAGATGTTTCAATATCAATTTGGAAAATAAATTTAACATCCCAATTATTACTTTAAAAACCAATATTTTAACTCACAATTGTTTCGTGTGTACAATTTATTATCGTAGACTAAAAGGACGAGTTTTTTAATTAGGGAGTAAACAATAAGCCAATTTGAACTATATTCCAATATGGATGGTTACTTGTATCTAAAGCAATATCTCTAATAACTATTTACAAGTTCTTTTCATTATCATTTCCTTCTTATGTCTTACTTAATTATTACAGCTATTCATAGTTTTTTAGCATTTATAAGTTCTAATTTAGTTTTACATAGTATATCATCAAAATCTATATAATCCCAATAATATGTATTGCAATAAGGTAAACAAGTATCGCAATATATCGTAATTCGGTTTTACGGCACACTTTCTATTTGTCAGTCGTACAAATGCATTAAAATCATGGTAACTATGAAGATAGAACAATGCATACTTTATGGCCCTTCCTGGCAGAACTCTTATGCATGTTTAAAATTAGTACAAAACTGTATTATGTATACATTAAGTAATTTGAAAAGATAATAATGTTAATATATTATTTAAGGGGAATGAAACGTATTTATAAATACTACTCAAGTTTTTGAATTAATTTGAAATTTTAAGTACATGTAGCAAGTAAACTTAACGAGTTTTAGGAAAGGATTTTTTTGTCTTTCTTTTGTAATGCTGTAAAAAACTTACTAACTTGATTTCTTACAAATATTCATCCTTTTTTTCTCTTCCTTGATATTTCAAGGTTTTTTATCACAACAAACAAAAGGTCAACATATCGTATAATCTTTGATTATCTCGTTAGTTAGGAATAACAAAAACAGTTTTAAAGTTGCCTATATCTAGTTGATCTATTTTCACCTGCCATATCTGTTTAACAAATACAAAGATTGGCGAAACCATATTTTTTAAAAGTTTTAGATACAATAAAAGGTTGCATATTTTCTTTAACCTCGGCTGTGTCCTTTTTTAAATCGACATGATAGTCGACATGATGAGACAGATGAGTGTCTAACTAAAACTTTAAAAGTCACCAGGAAGTTTTGCTAATTGTCAAAAATTTGTTCGTGAAATATGATGTCGTGCACAAATGTACTGTTCTATGAGAAAAAAACCCAGTTTTACAAGGTCTTGCTGAGATGAAAAAAACTAGAAAACTAAGTTTTTCTTGTATCACTATATTTAATAATTGTTTTCTAACGATTCACTGATGCCATTTGCTTTTTTATTTCAGAATTTAAAGTGTTCATAAAAAACTAAAATTTCCACACATGTATCGTTTGGAACTGTACAATTAATTTGTTACACATCTTATCTGTTTGCTGTTTTAGAACACAACTTTAAACAGATTTTAAAATTTTCAGAAGAATAAGAATATCTGTCACATGCTGCTGTTCACATCGGGACATCTATCGTCGGGTTTCTGATGGACGGATATTTCGATCCGAACATATTGCACCAGTAACTATTTTCTTACACAGCGTTTGAAATTAAAACTTCATTCAGAACGGCAAAAAAAGCCATCCTAAGCATGCCATGATGTAGCACCATACTCCTCTGGCAACCCCATACTAGATGAAATTTCTGGAATGGGTAAAACTAACGAGACAGCAGTCAATTTGCAAAAAAAAAAAATGGTTGAGATAATTGGCCAACTATAGCTCTTTGATAACAAAAAAAGATTGCCCTAAATAACAAGCTTTTGAGAGGTAAAAGTAGGAGCATTTCCGAAGCATATTGACCCTTTAAGTAGTTTTGCAGAAATATAGCATCAAAATCAAGAATTCTAATAAAATATGTAAATTTTCAACCTTAAGTTTAATACATGTAGTTGCTTGTATAATAATCGTTAATAATTGCCAAAATTTGGCTAAAAGCAAGATGGCTGGGAAATTACTGATGTTTTTTAAGACCCACGCGGGGGTAAAGCTTAACTTCATTTTTGTCTCTAGGCACTTAGAATCTTGCAAAGCAAATATATTTTCCTGATGATGTCCGAAATTGACATGCGAAAATTAAGTTAAGCACTCACAAAAGGCTAAAACAGACACACAATATTTTTATTCTCATAAGCAATAAATTAAAGCATGTTACATACTAAACGTTTATTTGTTCTGTAGTTTTGTCGTCTAAATGTTAAATATATTTTACATGTTGTAAAATAGCGAAAGAAAACTTTTAGTCACAATTTTTCCCATGTTAACAAGCGACATTTTATCTTGCTCTGAGAGGACAACGATCTTCTGTACAGATATCTTCAAACAAGCATGATCCAAAAAAGGATTCTTCATCTCAAGATAGTTTTGTCGGAAGGAAATAATGTGACAGAAGTCACGACTATTACTATTCATTGAAATATTTGTATACGAACAATATAAAAATTATTGTTGATAAGTCAAATGGTATTTACTACCTAATTGTTTTAACTATCGTATTGTTGAGTGAAAGAATAAGAAGCTGAAAGAGTAATTGAAAGAGTAAATGTCATCAGAGTCTCATAAGGAAGATTTATGTATCTACATTGTATATATAAACAACCGAACTTAAGTTAATAAGTTTATAATATTACGTCTTTTTACTTAGTTGTTTAAACCCAGTTCATTCGATTAACAAAGTTTATCAAAGTTTTAAAAGGTTTTTTGTTTGGACTAAAGTAACAAAGTATACAATGGCAATGAACACATGCTTCATACTTGTATCGCTTTTGTGTATGTTTACGATGGTAAACTGTAGATTCGTACTGTACGACTCGGACAACCCTGATACAAACGTTGACACTGGATCACAATTTCCCTCTGTTATGAAGATGTTGGAAACTATATTTTCTAGACTGAATGCTTTAGATGGTAAAGGTAAAATATAATTTTCTTAACATTGAGGAAGTAAGATTTTTACATGTAGCAAACTTGAAATATTTGATAAATTAATTATTGTCTCATAAAAATTCCTTTTTAGTAATGAGATAAACATAACCACTTAATTGAAGTAATTGATGACCTTGTCAGATCTTAAAAATGCAAATGTTTTATACAAAGAATATAGTCTGTGTAATGTTTGATTGGTAATTTATTCTTTAAAGTTTTAAAATTGACAGAAATTCCCTTATATACAATAGTTTACACACAAAAATCATATGAAGTATTTAAAAAAAATTGAAAAACATAGTTATGTTGAAGTACATAAATTAAAAAACAACCAAACAAAATCACCCGTTTACAGGCAAAATCACAGAAACCAATGTTAATTTTTTTGTCTTTACTGATTTACTATTAATTATTTTCCAGGAAACATGACATCCGAAATGACAAGAAATATGAAATGTTTGGACGGCTGGGTCACATTTAAAGATTCGTGTTATTTGTTTGACACAAAAACCCTCGATTTTCAATCAGCTGAGGTATCTTGTGCTACTACTAATTTATTCATGCATATCAAGATATTACATTTGTTATTTGATATATGTTGAATGTTCAAGTGTCAATCAGTAAATTGATATACAATATTGAATTATTTTAGTCTTCTATGTTTACAAATATTATTCTTATATTCGTTATACATATTGAGGTGTATATGAATCCAAACCTTAGGAAAATAATTTACTATTATTTACTATTGTACTTTATAATAAACAATTTATAATATGGGTTATTCAAATAAACGAGTCAAGTCCAGGAAATATGTATGCTTTTGCTAAAATCATTCAATATCATATTTAGTTGAGCGTCTCTTATTTCTTGATTGCCATATCAAGTTGGTGTTATCTTGAATTTTACCAAACGTATTGCCAGGGATAATAGTACTCTTTTATGAAAGTTAAAGTTAATGTGCAACATAAACTCAATAAACAAGCGAAAATACAAAAAGCAAACATGATTGAAGCGGATATCTTAACATTAATACCGTTACAGTAAGATACATTAAAATTTGATTTACTTTTGGCTAAATAACAACGTAGTTGCAGCCTATTTTAGATTCTAATTCTATGTAATAGGCAAAAATTGAATTATTCTTGTTGTATTGTTTAGCTTTTGATATAGTCATATCTTCGATATGAATAATTTTGCGTGCATTTTGATATTTGTGGTATTTCAGAAGGAATGTGGCAAATGGGAGTCTCATATAGTACGTTTAGAGACACAAGAAGAAAATTCATTTCTGAAATCATTTTTGGCCAATTATTTCAAAGGTGAGATAAAGACTTTTTTCTTTTTACGGTGAAAATAATTTCAAGAAATGGAAGAACTAAAAAAATATGCTAACCAAATATCTTTATATTTAAATTACCTACTATGAATTTCAGACGCACATTACTGGATTGGTATGACAGACATAGAAACAGAAGGATTGTGGAAGATATCAGGTACAAACAATATTGTACCATTCACTGACTGGAAAGGCACTGAACCCCAAAACCACGGCGGAAATGAAGATTGTGCTTTATTTTATAGCACCCTTTCCTACAGTTGGGCAGATGCGTCTTGTTCCGCGAAATCTCGGGCAATTTGCGAGAAAGAGGTGAACTGATTAAAGGAGAAATGTTTATGCCTTTGTTTTTTCACATTATTGATAAATGTTTTTTCTTAACACTAACACGCTTAAACTTTAAACTATTTTTACCTGAAAATGTGTATAAATAATTTAATTATGTTTTTGATTTTATCTTTTATCTAAAAAAAAGTATGTTTTTTAATCTGTGTCGAAAAGAAATGATTATCATCCATGTCATTGTTTTCAAGGAAGCTGTTTTATTCAAAATGTGTTTGGATTCTAACAGAGAAATAATTTAATTAGAAAACTAAATCCAAACTGTTTTCCTTCTTAATCACGAATATAACAAGGAGAGTTTCATTACCTTTTAAAGCTAAAAAATACGTTACTTAACAATGATTATTGAAAAAGATACTGAGGTTAGAAATTATATTTTACAATTTAATAGTTCATTTTTATTGTCTATTCTCTGTAGAAAGATGCCAACCCCTTAAAAGAAATAAATCAACTCAATGTTTGGTAAAATTATTCAAACTCGAAATGAAACCAACAAAATGGCAAAGCTTTACGTCAAAATTTTGCCTCCAAAGATTTTCCAATTGATTTTAATATAAAGCCATATTTTTAAAAAACATCCAAAATATTATTCTCAAAACCGATTGTCTAATGTTTTTAATAATTTTTATCGAAAGCAATGATTAGGACCATCTTCAAGCCCACCAAATTTTATGTTTCGTAAGATTCACACCAACATTTTCGGAACAGTATTGAGACATATCTTGCTTTTTTTCATCTAATGTCTTAGGGTAATGAAGATCGATGGGTTGTAAAATTTCCTGAAAAAGGAAATCAGAAAATTATTGCAAACTGATTCAAGAACATGGAGAAATGTCCTGTTTTGTCACTTTTTGTGTGATACCTTAAAGTAATAAAAAAGTATAACCTTGTCATGCAAAAATAGCGGTGTTCGTTTACAAAATAGAGACGTAGTTCAGATTATCATCCCCGGAGTTCTAACAGCAATGTCAATTTTCAAGCTTAAAATAAATAATGGTGTTCTGGACCTCTATAGACGTCCCTTTAAAATCATACAGGGTTTTTTTTAAAAAATGGTCATAAGAAGAAATTGATTACGATTTTTGTTGTAAAAAAATTTTTGGGTCATAACAAACATAAACATTTGGGAAAGTATGTATAACGTGAATTTTCTTCAAAATTTTACGTTTGTTTTAGTCCTTTTGGGGGGAAATTAAAGTTTTCAGAAAATGCAGCAAAACAATCAAAAACAACAACAAACAAACAAACAAAAAGCCCCCCCCCTAAATAAAAAGTTGTCATTGAAGTGCGGACAAAAGACGCACACAAACAAAATGTCGTCAATGTCCAACGACATCGGGATAGCTGCAGAAACCAAAGTTATTCAAACGTTTACTCATCATTGCGATGTTATCTTTTAACTACAATTATAGACGAGTAATGATATCTTAATCGAAAAATATGCCACAAAGAACAAAATGCAACAATCATTTTTATGAGCAGGTAGTTAACAGTTTACGACGTATGGTCAATGAATATTAGTTTTATTCTATTTTAACATTGGGAAAATCCAATCAATTCAGTGTGAATATGATACTACATCCAGATTATATGATTTTAGAAACGGTTCTGTTGCTTACTGTTTATACCAGTGAGATTGAAGATTGCAGCTTTCTTAAGATTATATAATAATTGTTAATACTTGCGAAATTTTAGCTGAAAACATGTTTTTAAATAGATAGCTATAAAATTACTAAATTGAAAGTAAAGGTCAAGTAATAAAATATATTTAAATTGAAAATGTTATCTGAGAGAAAAAATAAAAATGGGTAAGGAATTTAAATCTGAACTGTTAATAGAATAGTAAAGCAAGCGAAATAAAATTTATTTTATGAGGGGAGTTTCATATGTTATGGTTTTGAGTAAATTTATAAATCATTTTTCAAAGTTTGTTAGCAATTAAGAAGAGCTTTCAATAAGACGACAATGGCTGAAACTTTTCCTGATACTTGATAGAAATACTCAGTGCTAGCCGGTTACTTCCAATTTACAGCGTCCATGGACAGGCCAAATAAAACCATGCCTGCAGCATTTACAATTGTGCCGGTTTTGGCGTTGTTTAAGGATTGTTATTTGCTCTATGGTATTGAATAGTGATCAGTGTTCTTATATTTTTTTCTGGGCCTTCTTCGGGGGAATTGATTTTAAATACTTTTAGTGTTGGATGTTGAATGCTGCATAAACTGGTGCTAGGGTTTTGAGAGATGTTACTGATTACCTAATCTCTTATTAATAGAGACAATAAAGTCGGATCTGTTATTATAGGCAACTATTCCCTTGTTTTCATTGCACTCGAGCGATCTTCCTTTTCCCGGATTCTATATTTACAACAGCAGATATCAAGTGGTGTGTGACATCTGCAAAAGGTTGTCCTTCGGGGTCATTGGTTCAAATACATTTGAGCACTGAATACTACTTAAACCGGTTCTATTGGGCATAAAAAGTGTTACAAATTAATTAAATTATCTTTCATGAAGACACCCAAGTGTCTGCAATTGTCGACTATTTGCTGTGATTTCATTGCTCTCGAAGGATATTTCCTATTCCTGGTTTTTTCAATCATAATGCCAATTACATATGAGTGGTTAAGGAGATTTTAAATAGCTCCAATATTCTCTGGAAAAAGTCGGACTAAAGGGAGTGTGATAACTGATTTGAAACTTCTTGTGTAAAGATATAACTGATAAAATGTTTTAAAATGTAAACATGCTATTGATAGATCAAATGACCCCAACATGCTCAATACATACAGATGAAACTGGCATAGAGTGATTAACTGTTAATAGGAGTTCCGAACCTGAAAACTGTGTAGAATAACAAACTATTTATATGTATCTGTGGAACCTTCTAAAAGAGTTACATTTAAGGCAATACCTGCATGCTAAAAGGCATTGTTTAATCAAAATTGAATGCTGAAATACAGGTATGCATATAAAAATATCAATGTTTGCAAACATTTCACATTCGAAATAGATTTTCTTTTGGTGTTTCTTTTGCATAAAAACTAGTAAACATGTATGCTACTCCGAGTTTAAAGAAGCAACTTCTGAGTATTTAAAAAAATAATACATTTACACCTTTCATTATTGAAAAAGTCCTTATTTGTCGGTCTTGGATTAACTGAGAAATTAAAAGGAATATTGCCACTGTTTATATGCTTATTTTTTCAAATAATGAGGAATATCATGCTACGTAAAACATTCGATTTGCTGTCATTATTTTTGGATGCAATTTCGATGAGAAATACCCCACTATAACCTTAAACATTTATTCTTTTTCGAGGTGACAAATCTCGAGCGTTTTCTCTACCGTTAATTAACAGTTGTCCTCTTAACAATAAATGTATCATCCCTTCACCCATCCATTGGCTCAACACAAACCTAATTCACAGGTATCGGTTGAAAACAAAATATTCACATTTTGTTTAAAATATGATTAAATATAAAAACAAAAATCAACAACGAAGGGTCATATTCAATTAACATATCCCCAACACAAACCAGAAACACAGGACCACGTGAAAGGAGCCTAACAGGACACAAGTTTTTTATCACTTAATATCATTCACCATTTCACAACTACGAAATCGAGATGTGTCTCCTCGGAATAAAATGAAAACAAAATGACATTTAGGGTCAATAAATTGAAATGTTGCAGACTCAGTTCGATTGATCCTATTACTAGTAAATGACGGTAATGGAAACTGACGACTAGTATCAGAACTGATTTAAGCATATTTCAACATGAAATATCTAACGGTAGAATTTAAATGAGATAAAGAAACAACCACACACGTATTCATACGGCGGTGATCATGGAACCTTCAATGTTAAATGTACCACGACAAATGGCGTATTTTGCCCAAACACAGGAAAATGGAAACACACAAGAAATGCATATCACCCAAAGAACGCTCAAAACGGCAATATTCAAAATGTTGCAGGCTTGGTTTAATTGAGCCTGTTCACGGACGATACTGAAAAGTGTAAGTTATTGTCCATGCCCGTAGCACCGGCGTTAGAAAAAATATAACACTTGACCATATAAGTGGTAAAATATTTAATCAAGAAACATCTGCAGATGTGTTCATACGGCGGTTATCATGTAATGAAATTTGTGAAGGGGATAAGAGGTTTCGAAGCCTGCATATCACAGATAAAACGTCAAAAGGCGAATTTCAAATGCATCCTATTGGATACTATAGTATTCAAGTTAGAATACTGAAACCATCCAACAAGTAGAAGATCAAATCCAAAGAACTAAAAGTACCACACATATATACACACAACAGCAATGTCTTGCTGAAAAGGATTTCCCTTAAAATAGAATGAGACTTATATTCAATAATCATACAGCAACAACAACAGCTTGCACGAGCGTAAATTATATTTACTTAGTGAATATGATTTACACATGCGCAGTAATGACTAGGTGTAGTATCATTATCTGGCTGAATTTTCCTTATCTAAAATACAATGGATCACAATTTGCCGCTGTTATGAAGATGTTGGAAATTATATTTTCTAGACTGAATGCCTTAGATGGTAAAGGTAAAATATGTTTATTTTTAAAATAAGAGAGTAAGATATAAACTTGAAATACTTGACAAAATTATTAAGTATCAAAAACACCTATTTTCGTAAAAAAGATCAATATAACCATATATCCGAACAAATGAATGACCCTGTCAGATCTCAAAAAATGCAAAAATTTTATACAACGTATATTTTCGGTGTAATGATTGATTAGAAAAGTTTATTATACTAAACAGTTTTAAATTTGACATAAGTCATTTGTTCATAATCCAAGATTTTAAAATTCAGTGGCAATCTGCATAAGAAATGCCCTTTATATATAATAGCATACACAAAAAAATCATATGAAGTTTTTTTTTAATTATTTAAAAATAAGTCATGTTGAAGTAAATAAATTAAAAAAGCCCCAAAACTCAGCTTTTTACAGGCAAAATCATAGATGCCAATGAAGATTTTTTTGTCTTTACTGATATACTGATATATATGTGATGTGACATTCACTGGCAAAATGTCATATTGACCTCGGCTATCGCTTTGGTCAATCTGACATTTACCGGTGAATATCACATCATATTCAATGGCTCACTATTGATTATCACCGTCAATAAATGTATAATAAATGACATCTTACGCGCAAAATTTCAATTTAAATACAAATGTGAAAACAAACATAAGCCAATATAAGTAATCTAGAATATTTAGGGATTTGGGGGCCATTTTTTGACACCATCTTTAATTTCGAAGCTTTGCATT